AATCGTAATCCATTTCTTGTTTGTTTGACGCTGCTGAACTGAAGAAGTCACACGGCAGCCTTATGCTGCAGCCGTAGGTTAGCTGAGCGGCGCTAAGACTAGTGTCTGCACGCGGTGTTGCTCGTAGTCCGAGTAGCACTGTAGGTAGCTCATCAATCCACTTTGTATGTTGAGATAAACGAGTTTTGAGTGCAGTCTTTAATGTACGATGCCATCGTTCGATTATTCCGTTTGACTGAGGATGGTATGCTGTTGTACGCGTCTTCTGTATTCCCATAGTTTGAAGAAGTTTGAGGAATAGGTTGCTTTCGAAATTCCTTCCTTGATCCGTTGTGATGGTTTTAGGTGATCCGAAACGAGTAATCCAATTTTCATAAATTATCTTCGCGACGGATTCGGCTGAACTATCATCGGTATGTATTGCTTCTGGCCATCTTGTTGTTCTGTCGATCATTGTTACGAGATAACGATGTCCTTGCGGTGAAGTAGGTAATGGTCCAACGATGTCAACGTGCAAGTGTTCGAATCTCTCCGTGGGTGGAAATGTAGCTAGACTACTTGATGTATGCCTTTGAACTTTGCATTTTTGGCATTGAATGCATTGCTTCGCCCAGTTGCCAACATCCGCTTGCATTGCAGGCCAAAAGAATTTTTCAGTGATGAGTTTTCTTGTTGTTCTAACACCTGGATGACTAATGTTGTGCAGTGTATTGAAGACTTCGCGACGACATTCTTCTGGTATGTATGGTCGCATGGTTGTCGTTGAGGCTTCACAGTATATAGGTAGATGCGTCATTGGCATTGTAACTTGCTTGATGGACAAGTTACCTTGCTTCGCTAGATGTTTTATGTTGTCACTATCTCTGTCTTGTGCTGCGGCGATCTTATGATAGTCGATTGATGTAGGGCACGTTACACTGTCGATTGGTACGCGACTGAGTGCGTCGGCAACTATGTTGTCCTTTCCACTGATGTGACGTATGTCGGTCGTGAATTCACTTATGAAAATAAGTTGTCTTGCTCTTCGTGGTGTTTCCGATAGTGATGGTTTCTTTGGAAGTACATATGTTAATGGTTTGTGGTCGGTAAAAACGATCAGGTTTCGACCCTCGAACGTTTTTCTGAAGTGCTTGATAGCCATGTAATTAGCGAGTAGCTCTCGGTCGAATGTACTGTAGTTACGTTGAGTATCGGAGAACTTCTTCGAAAAATATCCAAGTGGTTGCCATTTCCCATTGCTGTATTGTTGGAGAACTGCTCCTGCTGAGAGATCGGATGCGTCGCTGAAGATAGCAAGGGTTGCTTCGTGTGATGGGTGAGCGAGTAAAGCTGCATTTTGGATCGCAATTTTACAAGCTTCAAATGCCTTCGTGGCTTCATCGTTCCATTCGATTGACGTTTTATCTTTTTTCTTCGTGTTGTGAAGGTAGGCGTGAAGTGGTGCTTGGATTTCAGCGGCTTTAGGTATGTGTTCTCTGTAAAAATTTATCATCCCAAGAAAACGCCTTAGCTCTTCGATAGTTTTAGGTTTTGCATAATCGATGATTGCTCTGACTTTTTCGGCAGGCGGTTTTATTCCTTCCTTGCTGACGGTGAAACCAAGAAATTGAACTTCTTGCTGTCCAAATATGCATTTCGAAGGGTTGATTGTGATTCCGTTGTCTTCTAATCGCTGTAGCACGGTGCGTAGATGGGTTTCGTGCGTTTCTTTATCAGGGCTTGCAACAAGGAGATCATCAATAAATGCGAAAACGAAATCCAGTCCATGAAGTACTTCGTGTATGAATCTTTGGAAAGTTTGACCTCCGTTCTTTAATCCTGGGATCATTCTTGGGAATTCGAATAATCCCATTGGGGTAATTATTGCTGTCTTCTCTATGTCTTCACCGCGGACTCTTATTTGTTGGTAAGCTCGGTTGAGATCGATGGTGGAGAATATAGTCTTGTCTGATAGTTGATGAGTGAAATCCCTGACTCGCGGTATTGGGTATCGGTCAGGAGTGGTAATAGAATTCAGTCTTCTGTAATCTCCACAAACTCGTAATTCTCCGTTCTTCTTCGGTACAATGTGAAGTGGTGATGACCAAGGGCTTTTGCTTGGACGGCATATTCCTTGCTCAATCATATTTTCGAATTCCTTTCGAACTTGCTCGTATAGGTGTGGTGCGATTGGACGTGCACGGCAATGAAGTGGTGGTCCATTGGTGTCGATGAAATGCTCAACGTCGTTCTTCGGTGTTAATTTCATTGAAGTTATTCTTGTGATACCAGGGTATTCTTCGAGGATCTTGTGATACGGTTGTTGCACATCTATGCTTCTTATTGTGGGCAGATTGGTTGCTTGTACAAAAGACTGAGATGCAAGATTGGTTTTCCCGTCGATGATTCTTCTATTTTTGATGTCGACGACCAACTGGTGATGTTGAAGAAAATCAGCACCGATGATTGGTTTGCTGACTTTAGCGACGATAAATCTCCATTTGAATGGTCGGCGTAGATTAAAATCAAGTTCCAATGTTTTTTCTCCATATGTAGGAATAACCGTATTGTTTGCTGCATAGAGTTGAAAATCTAGTGGCTTCAACTTCTGTCCTTGCTTCGGCGGTAACACTGAGATATTTGCTCCGGTGTCGATAAGGAAAGTAAGCTTGCTTTTTTTATCGGTGACGAAAAGACGGTAGGACTTTGCTGTTACGCTGGATCCCGTCGCATCGAGCGTACTAGTTAGTTTTCCGTATTCGTATTTTCATTTTTGAATGTACACGGTGCTGTGCATTTTCTTGCCTCGACCCCGAAACGTCGATGATAGTAGCAGTAAGGGGATCTTGATGTTGAGCTTATTCGACTTCTACTTGCAGAGCGGTTGCGACGAAAAGGTGATCTTCGGTGTTGCTGATTGCGCTGGTTGTACTGTTGCTGGTAAAAGGTATGATGCTGGGAAGCTTTGAGCGCGGCGACTTCGAATGATAGCTTCCGAATTTCTTCGAGAAGAAACTGGGTATCATTGGCCTTTGTTGAAGTGCCTTCGATGATCGATATGTGTGAGCTACTGCTGTTTTCGATCATCTTGTCCGCCAGGAGTGCCAGTTCGTCGAGCTTCGTCTGCGTGCTGAATGTTTCGCTGACTGCTATTACCGATCGAATATGTGGTGGTAGGTGGTTTACCCACATTAGCCGTAGTGTTGAATCCGGAACTTTATCTCGCGCCAAAGTACGCATTTTGCGTAGGAGTTGTGTGGGTTTCTGGTCTCCAAGTTCTATTTCTGATAGAAGTTTTTGTAGCTGTCGACTGTCGGATTCTTCGTATGCGGAGATCAGACGATCCTTCAGTGAATTATACTGGTCGACTGCTGGTGGGTTGTACAACAGGTCCGCAATTTGTTCGATGTCTTGTTTCTCAAGTTGGGCTATCACCATCTGTGCTAATTGCGCTTGGCTCTTCTTTAAACCATTCGTTGCGGCTTCAAAACTGACGAACCAAAGTCGTGGTTTGTCTCTCCAAAACGGTGGTATTCTTAACGATAGAGATATACCGGCGATTTCTGGTTCCTTTACCGGGTTTGATGTATATGTGTTTGCCTCCTGCTCCATAATGACGGCTTGATTACACTGATTTTATATAAACTGAAGTCTTCCTTCTCGGTGTTCGTACGGGTTTCCTTCGCGGTGTTCGTGCAATAGTAGTGGTACGTCGCAGGGTGTTCCTTCTTGGTGTTCGTACCGGATCTTCCCCCTCGGTGTTCGTACGGGGTCACCACTGTAATAGTGGAGACGAACTGTCCACTATTAACAGACTCCGAGTGGTTTTCTTTAAGGTGGAGAAATGAAACTACTGTTTATGTTTATGAATGTACTGTCGAATGGGATTCGGAATGGAATATCTTTTGCATCAACCTTGCCTATATTTATATGGCTGGCTCACTGTTGATTTGCCAATGGTAACAATTAATATTTTGCCTAGCCAATTATATTGCTTATTTTATGACCAATGAAAACTATTTAAAATATACAATTATCTACGTTTCGTTTCCCGGCGTGAGACTTGTTTGTTGTTCACGAAGCTACGTCGCTGGACCGGGCTATATAAGACATGCAGATCGGTGCGCACGCGTAGTCGGCGGGCGGCGGCGGTGTGGAATACAGCTCCGGAACAGCAAGAGGAAACGAACTGCGGCGTTGAAGAAACGGCTCACCATTGGTCGACGGATACGTGACGATAGCGGCGTGTGAAGTCGGTGTGGCGCTGAATGATATTTGCGGCTGCTTCTTGTTTCTTTATAAGAACGTCAAATTATCTATATACAGTCCGCAGTATCTCAGTAGCCAAGAATAATTAGGAAATAAAATGTTTTTTTATTTATTCTCGCCTTCCGCGTTATGGTAGCAGCGGAGTATATATTATTTATTCCCGTTTAGGTTTGATTAATCTGGCTGCTACAGGGGTTTAAGAAATATAATTTATCAGCGTAAAAACAAATAAATTTTGTGTACATATTTGTTACAATATTTTTTGCAATGTTTGTTTTGTTGGTACATTTACTAAATTTTAAAAAAAAAACTTAATAAAGTTACAGCCTATGTACGTCCCACTTCTGGGCACAGGCCTCCCCTCATTTCTGAGAGGGTTTTAGGGCAAGGAAGTGTCCGCCGCACCGCCCCAATGCGTGTTGGCGAACTTCACATGTCTTCGAAATATTTTTTTTCTTATTCCTCAGACATGCAGGTTTCCTCACGATGTTTTCCTTCACCGCCGAGCACGTGGTAAATCAGCACTTAAAATTGCAATTAACAATTTCATTGGTGCCGGCGGGGATCGAACCCGGGTTACTTGCATTCCGTTATATTTACAGCGAGCGTTATCCATCTGAGCTACCACGGCTCTTTAAAAAAAAAACTTAGTAAGTCAAATAAAATATTACACTTCCTGATCATATAAGTCTATATTTTACATTAAAAAAAAACAATAATGGATTCTGAAGTTGTCAATTAATAATACATACCAGTTAGTGTAGTTTTTGGTATGGCTCAATAACCATCTCGAAGGTGTAATTATTTTTACAAAAAAACAGAACATTATTAACTGCCTAAGTTATGGATAAGATTAAAGTTTCAAAAGCTACGCAGAATAACTGTGCTGAATAACTTCATTTCATACATACATTACTTTATATATATGCATATCCCCTCTATAAGTATTTTATTCTTCCGATGTAATGATAAAAAACTGGCACGTTTACCTCGTTGTACATAATATCGTTTTGAATAAAAAAGCAAATTTTATGTTATTCAAATGATTATACAATTAACTTACAAAAGTCGTGTTCTTGTTATATAATGACTAGATGGGCCATGCGGATTTACCCGCTTTAAATTTAAACTCATTATACAACTACAGTGTAAAACAACGTTTCTTTTTCTCAATATTACTCAATACGTTATCTTTTCAGACTACTCACAATCAAGGGCATCGCCGAGAGGGGCAGATGCCTCCTTCTAGAGACTAAAAAATGTAATGAAATGCAAAGCAACCAGCCTTATTTATTGTACAGTCAAGAGCTCGTACAGCTGTGTGCTCATTTGTCACTCAAATTCTATTAAAAAAAATTCATACAAAACGAAGAATATTCAGCTACGGAAACTTAAAGATATAACGAAGTTGAATACGGCTGTGTGCTAGGCACACCTTTGCCAGTTGAGATATATCGATTAGATGTTATCAGTACAGGTCATAAAATAAAGGGTCCACATTACATGTAGGTTTACCGACTTCGATCGTCCGGAGAAATTTCCACGTATCAGACATAGAAGAGTTCATGATATTGTGGTGAATATAGTGGCGTTTAGCCGCTCGTACCATCTGATTACATCGGTTTCTCAAAGCTTTGAATTTTGTCCAATTGAGTTCACAACGGTTCTGCTTGAATTTCCTAAATATCTGATCGCGCTTAGACATAGCCTTACGGATATTTTCAGTAATCCATGGCGCAGGCGCACAAAAAACAGACACAAAAATAATTTGTTGATATAAAATAAATTTTCGTTAATGTATTTATTTTGTGTAGTAAATTATATTTATTTTAAAATCGCTCATTTTTTACTTCATGAAGTATGCTGGCCACACTTGGTATTTATACAAAAATATTCAGAAAATACGAGTTTCAACGATAATATTATGTTAAAAGTATTCACAGATGAAAAGTTACTTTGTGCTTTCGTAGATTTGACGGTTTTTATTGTTTTTTGCATGAAAATGCACCGCAATTCGGCATTTTTGTCGGAGCTCAATTGACTGGTACGATCACTTGCGTAACGGCGCACGACGCGGAGCTACTAGTTTTATATAACGGGTATAAGTCAGACTCTCGTACCTTTGACAGAGCCTTGCGATGCCGTTTTCTGTGGTTTTAATACTCAAAGCAACGACGTAAGCTTCTTTGATTATAGTTAACTACAAGTATCCATAGGCGCAGTAGCCACTTACCATCATCAGATGGACTGTAACTTCGTTTGTCACTTTAGTTTTACAAAAAAAAAGTTAGATGGTAACTAAGGAATAGTAATACAGTTATTTTTGTAACATTTATTTATATTTTTGAATTATACTATCATTGCCACAGAAATCGATTTCTGTGATCGCTGCATATTTGTTTTATCTCGAGTTTTCTGCGTAATATAACATATTCTTAAACCTGCGTATTAAGACAAAGTTTTAATTTAGGAAAAGTATATTATAAAATATGTAACAAAACCCTGTGGATCCCGTTAAGCGTGTTATCAGAATCAGTATTTAAACGTACTTATAGAAATTACTTCAGAAAACTCAACATAAAATAATCAAAAAAGTTTAATTAATTAATATTTGTAAATTTTATATCGATTGATTACTTCTGCCTGGGATTATCAAAAGCAACAGCACCGGTGGCGCTGCGGCTGGGGGCGGCGTACATGAAAGTGCGTGCGCGCGTCATACCTACATTAACACCCCATTTACACTCAGCCACTGCCACGGATTCCGTCGCTGCCGGAAATATTTCCCTAAATACTTCTCTGGAAATAATGATCCGAGTGGGTGTTTACCTAGTGTTTACACTCAGCCTTTATACTTCTTAATTCATCAAATCGCAACCATGACTCACGTCAAGTTTGTTGGCGTGACAGCATTATATCTGCTCAGTATAAGTAGCTACTACGTACAACTTATAGTTTTTATCATGAGGATCCCATATTACCCACTCAATTTCATAAAGTTCTAAAAATTTAATTGATTTATCATTAGTAAATATCATTAAAACACAGGATAGATAAATAAACGAATGTCCGTTTTTAAACGTGGTACGTTCTTTCTCGTTCAAACTTCGGCGGCAAATGAACGAGAATGCAGTGACAGCGCGAGTAGCCTATTTACACACGTACGCGCTGCCCAATTCTCTCGCTGCGCCCTCCTTTCTGCCAAGGAGGGTCGCGTTCGTATACGGCTTAGAGATCTCTAGTCAGATCGTTAAGCCAATTCCTAAAAGGTTGAGTTTAGTGGGTAAAAGTCTCCACATAACCACGCAGCCGGCTGCGTGGTATGCTATGAGCATTCTCAACCTCCCTCCCCCGCTTTCCGGAGGGTTGCCCATATTTGCTTCGGGCGCAAAAAAAACCCACTTCTCTGATCTCTGCTTACTTCCCTGCCCAACAAGGCTCAGTGTAAATGGGGCATAACTGCACTAATGTCGTGACCTAGTCACATCACTCAGTTGTTATCACTTTAGTAGTCGATTATCACAACTTTAAAAATTTTATTTCGACTGACTGTGGTAATTATGCACACAAACACTAATTCATTCATTCTTTGAATCAGGTCTTCTTGACGACCACAAAGATGTTGCTCATTGTGTCTGCCTTGTACCTCTATAAATTTGCAATACCGGCCTATAATATCTGAACTTCTGCATAATGGCCATTGATTTATACAAGACTAGAGGAGCAAACCACATTACCACGAAAAAAGTGTAACCATTATCCAACCGCAATGACGTAGCTTTGAAATTACTAAACATATATCTGTCTCACTTACACAAGGTGCGAAAACAATACCGTCGCTAAGATTAGATAAAGATAGACACACCTAACATACAAAGGCGGGTTGGGGTGGCTTACTATACGAAACTTTGTCCAAAATACGCAATTAAAACGAGTTTTTTAAGCTGCAGTTAATTCTTTTTATTTTTAAAAAGTGTATTTTGTTATCAGATGAATAGAAGTAAGCATAACTGATGAAATAAAACATATTTTTATCAGTATTTTTATTGTACTAATAAATCAAACAATATAAGAGGTAATAAAATATAATTAATATATCATTCATGAATAAAATTAAATAAGAATAATTAATTATTTTGTATGAAAGTTAAAACGTAGTTTTTATTATAATTTTCAAAATATTTAAAATCAGAGGTAGCAAATTAACTTATTCCAATAATTATATAGTCCCCCATTAATGTGGGATAGTCACAAAGGCGGAAAAGTGGCAACATTGAACCTAAATCGCAATATTCGATAATTTTATTTAATTATTTGAGGTTTTTACGTTTATATGAAAACATGAACTAAAACTTATGTGTATGTTTTTTTGACCTTGAATCGCATTGTTTCACTACGCATTTACCCATTTTTGTCGTGGATCATTCGGCTCAACTCTGTTGGCGGCACATTCAAGACTGAACTCAAATCAAATTCAAGGCATATGGATGTGGCCATTTGTGTAGTGACAACGCTTTGGCGTGGTAATTACTAATCTAGTGTAACATATAAATCAATGATAATGACAGTCACATTTCCCGAGACACATCAGCATATTAAAATAATCCTCGTTTGAGTAAGATATCGCACACAAGTCCTCTCTTCTCTGCAATTTAATATGTTTTGTACTCTGGTTCTGTACTCAGATAGCCATCGTAACCCTACTGTACAAACACTTCAGCACTTCGATATACCGACAGTCAACTTGGCACCGCTGAAGGGAATGTAGCACCGCCCCAATTTCGACGGAATCAAAGGCTTTTTCATGGTCCACATACGCCAGGCAAAGTGGCAGATTGTACTCTTTGGTCTTCTGTACAATCCGCCGCAGGGTATGGTACTGAAGTCTTTTCGGAAACCGGCTTGTTCGTGAGGCTGGAAATCGTCGAGTCTGCGTACGAGTCGATTTGTAATGACTCTCGAAAACAGCACGTAGACGCGGCTCAGAAAGGAAATCGGTCTGTAGTTCTTCACGAGAGCGTTGTCACCTTTCTTGAAGAACAAGACCACCGGAAATGTTATTAAGGCGATACCGCGAGAAAATGCATCTCCTTTCATTGAATGACTATGACACGACTAACGAAACTGGAATTTCGATATAGGTAAATTCATGTCTCTATCTTGAATTTGCTTGTTCAAAAACACGATTATATAATTTTGAGTCGATCATAATAATTTGTGAAAACACGTCTAAAAATCACCATAGTTGAAATTACAACGAAATTACTTAATCTATATGTTTGGAAATCACTCAAATATATTCATAAAGCGAATATTCGTAATTTACGTGCTCATTATTTTGATTACTTAATTCAATAATTTTTTTTAAATATTTCAAGATTCTGACAATTTCTAAGCGGTCTTAATCGTCACGGGTGCTATGCAATTTTAGACCTTATGACGGCGTTTTTAAAGTTTTTATAGAGATTATGTACTTACGCGGGTCCGGCGATAGCCCGCTTCAACGGTGGACCTGCGAAAATCGCCCTATACTTCGTTTACTAGTATATGGTACTTAAGAGGAGTATTACAAAAAAAAAAAAACGAAGTTAGGGGGTTTCCTCGTTGAAATTATATGTTTTCCGATCATTGCTTGAAATAACAATTACTTGGTCAAAATAGTTCATTTTCTCTACTATAATAAGCACAGAGCAAATTTTAGATTTTTCATTTAGTAATAATCATTCTCCCGATGCACGTTTAGGCCAAAACTCTGAGAGATATGATTTGGGAGCTCTAATTTGTAGATGCTATTGAATGTCGACTATCAAAAAATATTTTTATCTCACAAATATCCTATATTTTAATAATGATCAAATATGTTTCTGTTATATGCCTTTCACGTAAGGAAAAAAATCAACATAATTCAATTAACGACCGAAAAAGCTTCGATACAAGCCCTAATACTAAAATGTATACCAAAATAATCATCATCATTTGCTTAAATTATACTACATCATCATCATCATCATTACAGCCCTTCACAAGTCCACTGCTGAACATAGGCCTCCCCCAAGTAATGCCACAAAGCACGGTCCTGAGCCACCTGCATCCATCGACCTCCTGCATATCTTACCAAGTCGTCACGTTACACATCTAGTGGGGGGTCGCCCTACACTACGCCTACCGGTACGAGGCTGCCACTCGAGAACCTTTCTTCCCCATCGGTTATCGGTTCTTCGAGCTATATGGCCGGCCCATTGCCACTTCAGCTTACTAATCCGTTGGGCTATGTCGGTCACTCTGGTTTTACTGCGGATATTCCTCATTTCTGAGTCCATCACGCAGAGAAACTCCGAGCATAGCCCTCTCCATAGCTCGCTGAGCGACCTTGAGCGTCCTCATACGGCCAGCAGTGAAGGACCACGTCTCAGATCCGTAAGTTATCACTGGCAACACGCACTGGTTGTACAATTTAGGTTTAGAGATTGAGGTATACCTGACGAGAAGATATGTCGTAATTTCCCGAACGCTGCCCAGCCGAGTTGAATCCGTCGATTGACCTCTCGGTCGAAGTTGGACTTACCTAGTCGGACTATTTGTCCCAGGTAAACGTACTCGTCAACAAGTTCGAGCATAGTGCTCCCCCACAACTACCGGCATAGGTGTGACATGGACATTAAACATGATCTTTGTTTTGTCCATGTTCATCTTAAGACCTATCCGTTGGGAGGCACTGTTGAGGTCATTGAGCATAGTGCTTAAGTCCTCCAGCGATTCTGCCATAAGGACTATATCGTCGGCAAATCGAAGGTGAGTGATGTACTCGCCATTGATGTTAATACCGTATCCTTTCCAGTCCAGTAGCTTGAAAACGTCTTCCAAAACAGCGGTGAAGAGTTTCGGGGATATAACGTCACCCTGTCTTACACCTCTCTGCAGTTGGATAGGTTTCGAGCTCTGGTTCTGTACTCGGATAGCCATCGTAGCCCTACTGTACAAACACTTCAGCACTTCGATATACCGACAGTCAACTTGGCACCGCTGAAGGGACTGCAGCACCGCCCAAATTTCGACGGAATCAAAGGCTTTCTCATAGTCCACATACGCCAGGCAAAGTGGCAAATTGTACTCTTCAGTCTTCTGTACAATCCGCCGCAGGGTATGTATGTGGTCTATGGTACTGAAGCCTTTTCGGAAACCGGCTTGTTCGGGAGGCTGGAAGTCGTCGAGTCTGCGTGCGAGACGATTCGTAATGACTCTCGAAAACAGCACGTAGACGCGGCTCAGAAGGGAAATCGGTCTGTAGTCCTTCAAGAGAGCGTTGTCGCCTTTCTTAAAGAACAAGACCACCGCACTTCTGCTCCACGCCTCTGGAGTAGTGCCACCATGGAGGACGGAAGTGAAGAGCTCCTGAAGGACTTCCAGTACCGGTGTTCCACCCGCTTTCAGAAGCTCCGCCGTAATTCCATCCTCGCCTGGGGCCCTGCTATTTTTAAGGTGCTGGAGAGCCATTCTAATCTCGCTTAGACTGACGTCCGGGATATCATCGGAATAGTGTCGGATAAGACTTGCTCTTGGATCGTTACTCACACTTGCGTGTGGCTCCAACGATGATGTGTACAGCTGCCCATAGAACCTCTCAATCTCACTCAAAATCTCAGGTGTCCCGGAAACGATGCTGCCACACTCAGTCTTCAGCCTTGACAGTTGGCTCTTTCTGGCAGACAGATCTCTGGCAAAGACTTTGGAGCCCTGGTTCCGCTCGATCGCTTCTTTAATACGAGCAGTATTAAAGTTGCGTAAGTCTCGCCGCATGCATTTGGAGATCTGTCTGTTCAGTTGCCTGTATGCTGTCAAATCTGTTGACGATTGCAGCCTCATCTCCCGTCTAACAGCCATGAGATGAAGAGTGTGATCGCAGAGTTTTTGTGTTCTTCTGCGGTGGGTCTTGCAGAACTTAGCTCCGACCGCATGGACAGTTTCCACGAGCTTGTCATTCATATCGTTCACTGCATTGCAATCTTGTAGGCGCTGAAAGCGGTTACGTAACTCGAGCTGAAAGTTTTCGGGATTCTGGATTAGAGCACGAGGGGGACGGAGCGTTGACTTCATTAGACGAGACCTCTCCAACTTAACGTTTAGGTTCAGTGTGCCTCTAACCATTCGGTGATCGCTGCCAGTTTTCACCCTTGCGATCACTGAGACATCACTGAACAGTTGGCGTCTGGTCGTCATAATGAAGTCAATCTCATTTTTTGTCGAACCGTCGGGGCTCGACCAGGTCCACTTCCTGTGGGGCCGCTTCTGGAAGAAAGAGTTCATCATAAAGAGTCCCTCTTTCTCCATAAAGTCGGCCAGCTGCTGGCCCCCTTTGGCCTTGTTGCCCTACTCCAAATTTCCCTAACTTCAGCTCACCGCTTTCTCTTGTGCCTAGTTTTGCGTTGAAGTCTCCCATCACCACCGTGTAGTGGGTTTTGGAGGAAAAATTATACTACGATTTTTACTTTTTAAATCGTTACTATTATTTTTTAATTAAATGATTAAAAGTACCATATATTCACTGCCCCAGCCATCTGAATTCATTATCGAGCAAGCGGTTGTCGAGGTTGAACCTGTGTCATTTGATTTAGCGCGCTCCGTCTCGTTTCGATATTATCATAGTGTGCGTCGATTGCTATTATAGGCGCTGCTATCTTGGCCAGAACTCAACTACGATCGCAGTTTTTGATCGTTGCAAGTATTTAATTTTGTACAGTATATTTCAATTAGTATAAAGTTCGCACATTATTATTATACTAGATAGTTAACTCAGTCGGAATGGGGAAAAATAAATACAAGTACTAATGTGTCACTAAACGTAAAAGAAGAAATAGCCTATCTCTAGGGAAATAATAATGGAGAATAAAAATTTCTGCATGCTTGCCGTATGGACTGGCCCAGATTATGAAGTACTAAGATCTACAAAGACGACAAATTTTTGATTTTGAATATGTTACCCAAGTTACAAGCATTTTTTTAAAATTGTCTACTGACTGAAATTATTGACTCAAGGTAAGCTCGGTCAATGCCGTTGCGGCAAATATTTTTAAATTAAAAAAATGCTAATTGACTGTAGGTACCGATTAAAAAAATATTAGTTACAGTTGGTTATTTTATTTATTAAAACAGGTTGCAACCGTATTATTTATTTATACCACTATGTTACTATTAGTAGATATAATCGATTATTAACCAACATCGGCTAACAATCGATTACTGCGAAACAATTAAAATATTTATGTTTACTTATTTCAATACTAAGGTTCATAAATAATGAAAAATATAACAAATAGATTATAATAAAATTATTATATAACATAAAAATGACACACCATAAATTTTCCATCCATTGAACTCCATCCTAAGAAAACTTGTATAATGGAAGATCAAGATCGTTTAGTCGCTATACTCACAGTATCATAGTGCGAGCGAGTGAATAGATAGTAAGAAATAAAGTATCGCTCAGGTAGGTCGTCGCCCGCTCGGAGTGTAAAATACCTAAATTTGCGTAAAGCCGAAATGTAAGAGGGCTCTTAAATTGTTATTATTTACCCCCTTTTGTACCATTTTTTGTTACGAGGTAAAATACATAGCTGCAGATTATCTTATCACAAGGAAATAAAATTTACACTTGGATTTAATAACTTATTTTATGCATTCACAATTTGTATATATATATATATATATATATATATATATATATATATATATATATATATATAGAGGTTAAAAGATAGATTACGTGGTAAACGCGGAGCGTAATAATCCTTATATTCGTCAAATATAAGGATTATTACGCTCCGCGTTTACCACGTAATCTATATTTTAACCTCTTACTACATAATTGTGATAACTATTAACTACGATTGTAGTTAGTTTTTGTGTTATATAATTCACCACAACTAACAGTGGGATAGTATTTATCAAGGATGATTTGGAAAAAATCAGGCGAGGGTAGGGCATTAGTTGGAAGGGACTGAATTTTTTTTACAGTTGCTTCGTAGGTAGCACGTTCTTCACGAAAATAAATATTAAGTATATTTAAGTCCTCGTAAAGTTTTCGTATGCGGCTTACATTCTCAGGTTCCCAACTACCGTAGCACGCTTCGAATTCCTTTCGTTGTGTTTTGTTGCAGCGCTGCAAAGCCGTTACTGCTAGCCAAGTACATTTTCCCGCTTGGATATCTGAGCCAGTTTTACCCGTCCGTTTATCATCATCGAAGAAATCTGTAAGGTCATTCTGCAAATATGAAAATTATATTTAAAAGTAAACGACCATAGTTTTTAATTGCTTAATAAAATGAAAAGTTATATAGAATGAATTTCGAACGACATTTTTATATTTTGATGGAATCCAATTAGTATTATGCTTAACGATAAAATCTAGTCTATGATACTCCGAAGAAGATAACGACAAATCTAATCACATCTCATAGGATTTTTAAACACTTAAGATGCAATAGTCATAGATGAGGACTACGAAAATTAAAGGTTACGTGTTCGAATCCGCCATTCGACTGTTGTCGTGAAACCCTCCTAAGTCGTTTTATCTTACGTATAAACTTTATATGGAGTATAAATAAGTCATTTTGAATAAATTCGTGATTTTAAGAATACTTGTAGCAAAACAATAGGTAAGGAATTCCTCACTATGGTTGAAATCTGTCTTTCGCATGTGTTATAAAAGTAAAAAATGAATAAAAAATAAATTACTTACGTTTATTTGGCTCCAAATTCCGATGTCTGTCATTATATTAGCAACATTTCGTTGTGAATCCTTGTTGAATTTATTGCATAAAATTAAGGCTGATAAAACAGGGAATTTGCTAGAAAAATACGCAAACTTATGATTCGCAATCATTTTGTAACGTTCCATAGTAAAATCATCGTAATTTCTATTTCTTACAGTCACTGCATCAAAGTATTGTCCAACGTTACACGTTAAAAATGCCTGTAAAGGTATTGAAGATCTATCTTTATCTCTGTTAAGAAGTAGTACGTAGCCAAGTGGTACTATCAAAAAACACAGTTGCCGGATTTCAAGTATATATATCTGTAGGAAGTATATATATATATATATATATATATATATATATAATATATAAAAAATATTTACATGCCTGCCTCGTTGGTCTAGCGGTTGTAATAGTGCGGCTGCTGATCATGAGGTCCTGGGTTCGAATCCCGGGTCGGGCCAAAAAATCAATTATTGAGTTTTTCTGTCAAGAAATTCTTAGTAGCTGGCCGAAGTCAGGAAGTTGGCGGTGTCTCACCCCCGTGCCTCGGAAAGCACGTAAAACGTCCTGCGCCTGATCTCTCTCCGGTCGTGTCGGTTTACCATCCCATCGGAGTATGAGAGTGAGGGAATAGAGAGTGCATTTGTGCTTGCGCATACACTTGGGTACTATAATCCTGTCCTGCGCCGTTGGCTAGCCTCCGTTGAGGCAGGCCGCAGTGGCCGAAATTCGTTCTGGAGGACATTATTATTATTGTATATTTACATAACAGTGTAGTGGCGGTGTAATAAAATCCTCTACCCCATTACGTCCCGTGGATGTTATAAGAGGCGACAGTGGAAAACAAACCAGAAGATGGGTAGCAGCAAACTCTAGAAAAAAATAACGTGTGCTTCACACGCGGTAGAAGTGAAATTTTCAACTGAAATTACATATTAAACATATTTCACGGAAAATGATTTATCTAATATGATCATTTTCAACCACAAGTGCGGCGTAACATATTATTGGATAAAGGTTTCATTTTATAATAAATGTATATAATAAATATAATAAAAGTTAAAATCCTTATTTTTAGACCTAACTTAGTGAAATAAGTGAAAGGAATTTTACTCAACAAAAATTTTACTTAACAATTTTACTCGAAAGAAAATCTTTCGAGTATAATTGTGAAGTAAATTTTATAATAGCGTAATGAGATGTACTTCCTTCTATAGGTTAAGTTATTTTATCCAAAAAAACTTGATTAACTTTCAAAGTGGTATAGAGATGAATAAGATGAATAGAATGAAATGAAGATGGATAAGATAGGCGGTAGATGGCGTAAACAAGAATAATTCAACATAAATGGGACAACTATAAAATCGTGGATTGTAATGAATGAGTTGGATATGATAATTTTATTCAATATGGTGAATTTTATCTTCTTCTATACGCATAATAAATCTGTAGAAAAGTCTTGTCTGTAATTCTAATATTTCCTGGAAAAAACAAGTCCATGGGACTAAATAAAGGATACTGAGGCCAAATTACTGGTTTTTAAATTTTTGTCTGTCTATCTGTCTTTCTGTCTGTCTGTGTATTAAAGATTCACGCAAAAACTACTGAACAGATCTCCATAAAATTTTGTACGCAGGCAGTTAGTGACCTGGAGCTACTTATACGCTTACTTTTTATCTGGTTACGAAACTTAAAAAAGGAGGGTTAAATATTTTCCTTTCTATAGAAATTAATTTTCTGTTGTGTATAATTCTGTTCTGATTGGGATAAATCAGTGTTTTGTTTTAACGAATACAATATTTACAATTAAAATTTAAAATTTGTTTCAACTGTTATGTCATAATTTGAAACTACGCCAACGATCTACATACATTGTACGTTTCCGATACAGGGCCATCTGTCATAAAAAGTAAAAAGTAGTATATGTAGCCTTCAGTTATCAGTTACTTACTAATAAATTAAATAACATAAATAACGTACATTTATATGTTTAAATAATTGTATTTATTAAATGATTTGAAACTGCTAAGATTTATTTTAAGTTATTCATTCTTTCATGATCTCGTTATAATAGTAATAATTTAAAAAAATAATAGTAAAATTTATAAAAATTCAGAAGGTTTTTAGTTTAATTATTAATAATATATAATAATGAACTGATTAACATTGGTTTGCCTGCGATTATTGCAAAACTCTTATTACACTTATACTTTATTTAAAGATATTTTTGTATACGTCGTGGCCAGATCGTAGAATTGATTTTATCATGAATATTCGATTATTACATGAAATTATGGCATTTTGTTTTATACTATGGAGAGGTGGTCAGTAATAATAGGCTACCATGAAATGATTGCGATATTTGAAGTGGTCCAGTACTTCATGATAATATGATCAATTCTACGATCTGTTTTGGCTTTCATCGTTTTAATCTGAAATTAGCGCCATCTATTTACTGCTAAATAAACTAATAAAAACTAACTAACAAGATTAAATATAATACTGTTACGCGCTCAAGTCGACGGCACTAGCGCCATCTAGTCTCGAACCGAAGAACTAAACTTCTTGAAGTTGAAATACGAACTCTCGGTACCTTGCGCGTGTTTACTTGAATATTCTGGATATTTCGCTGCTAATTTATATAAATAGGCGCTGCAAGATGCGATCGGGGAAGTATTGAAGTTGGCGAGACAAGCGAAGCTTCGGAGCGGAATAAAGTGAATCAGTGTGATTAACTATTAGTGTTTTTAACTTTAATTAGTGTAAAGTGAATTAAAGTGTTAATTTAGGTAATTCTATCGGCAATTTTTATTGTCACGAACCTCAAGCTCGTAACAATTGGTGTCAGAAGTGGGATAAAATCATACCGATTTTACCTAAGGAGGAAACGGAGGGTGTCCGTACCCGAAGTCAACGCCAGCAGGAGACGGACCAAAGAAGGTTTGGTGGTACAACGCCGCAGACGTCGAAGGGCCAGCCGCCGGCTGCAGGCCCGTCAGTAGCCCCTACATCTGCAGCACCTGACTTAGGTGCTCTGATGGTGATGCTGCAGGAGCAGGCTCGCCGACAGGAGGAACAGGTTCGTCGGTTGGAAGAGCAGCTGCGGGGCGGGCAGGATGAACAGACCCGCCGACAAGAGGAACAGGTCCGTCATTTGGAAGAGCAGCTGCGGGGCGGACAAGATGAAGAGGTCCGTCGTTTGGAAGATCAGCTGCGGGGTGGACAAGAGGAACAGGCCCGTCGGTTGGAAGAGCAAATGCTCCTAATGAAGGATCTTCACGCTACCTTCGGGAAGGAGATAAAGGAGGTTAAGGATAGAGTTGCTCAGCATGACAACCGCCTGTCGGAAGCTGAAACCCAAATCGCGAAGGCTGAAACCCAAATCAATGAAGCTAAAACTCAAATCGACCAAGTGAACGATCGGGTAGACAACGTGGTGGCTGATGTGAAAAAAACGCTGGACGATCTCAAACTGGGGGATGGAACTACACCTCCCGTAGTAGCTACAACACCTTCAGTACGTGAATTCAAAGTGCTGCCGTTCGACGTGACTTCTTCGTGGGCGGCATACAAAATCCAGTTCGAGGTTGTTATGAAGGCGAACGGCTGGAATAAAAGTCAGGCCATGACTGCTCTCACACTAGGCCTGCGCGACCAGGCCTTAACAGTTCTGGAAGCTCTCAGTGAGGAAGTGACTTATGAGCAACTCCTTGAAGCATTGGAGGCGAGATATGGCGACGCTCACCTGGAACACACTAAACTGCTAAATTCTTTTACGTATATCCTCTTTATGTATTTTATTACACAGATAAACTCCGAGCATAGCTGTTATCATAGCTCGCTGAGTGATATTGTGCTTCATCATACGGTCAGCAATAAAATACTACGTTTCGCTTCCGTAAGTCATCAATGGCAATACACTTTTAATTTAAAAAAAAAGAAATTTCCGGGGGCAGACCAGCCAAGTGGGATTTGTCGGTTGACTTGTTGGTCGAAGTTGCATTTACGAAAATAGCTATTTTGTTCCAGGTACAAATAACTCGTCAACAACTTCGAGCTTATTGTGTCCAACAACTACTGGTATAGGTGTTACACGAACGTTAGACATTTTTGTTTTGTCCTTATTTGTCTTAAGATCTACCTGTTGAGTGACGCTATTTTAGGCACTGAGGTCTTCCAGGGATTCTGCCAGAATAAATATACCGTCGGCAAATATAATTTACTCGCCATTGATGCAACACCACCCGTCTTACACCTCTCTGCAGTTGGATGTGTTTTATTCTCTAGTTCTGTACTCTAACGGACATCGTAGTGTTATTATAGAAACTAAAAAAAATTTAACTGAATCGAACACCTCAACGCTCACATAGACTAGACATAATGGCGGATTATACACTAAATCTTCTGTTTTATCTGCCGAGATGTATCTGTGGTACGGTAGGTTACAAGTTGTCCAGTTTGCTTGCAAGATTTTTTGTAACAGAAGTAAGAACAACAACAGAAGTAAGGTCTGGGATGTTTTTAGAGTTTCATTGAAGAACGAAACGAACTTGAGGAACTTGAGGAGGAGGCTAAAGCAAAAGTCAACACTTTATACAGTCAACACGTATAGAGAAGAATTGAAGCCTCGATTACAGAAGCTGTAATATGGATCTATCTTGGGCAGGAAAAGGAGGAACAAACATCTGCCTTAGACATTATCATATCAAATTTTAAGAAATTATTCCATATCAGTTCTTCACTGTTATGCGGATAGCAGGCTGTCATGAAATGCAATAAAATAGTTGATGATATAGCGTGAAGTTCCGCCATGTCACATTATAAATCACGCAACGCATGTCATGTTGCATTATCGAATAGGGTCTGTTTTGGAATCTAATTTTGTAACTGTTTCTTGTACTTGTTCTATATTTTTAATCAGAACATTTCCTCGGATCATTCCTCGTAGTAAATGCGATAAAATTACATTGTAAATTACTTACCTCATTGAATAGATTGAGTATATTAACATATGTGGACCCTTGAAAATTTTGCTTTAGCATTTCGTGTATGAAGCTCCTAAACATACTGGCATCATTCATGGCCAAGCTGCCCACGTCTGGCAACAAATGCCAACATGGCTTCCCGTTACGTGTCTTCGTACCATCTTCTATATCATCCATGATAATAATATATGCCATTACCTAAAAATAAATAATAATATCAGTGATATGCCTTTGCGATGCGACAATTCAAAAAATAATAACAACATTTTCTGTAATAACGTTATACGAATAATTGAAGTATTTCTTACCATTTGAACACAAAAGGCTAAAATGTATTGTTGAGTTTGTAATTCGCCTTTTACTTCTTCAGGTTTCCGGAGTATCTCATGACATAGTATTGTCATTTCACTTTGTTTAAATTTTCGTCCTTGTGTGCTGTATTCTGCAATCTAAGCACTGATTTAATAATTTACCAATTTTGTATGCTATAAATGATTTAAGAGAATTTGTAGTGATTCCCTTGAAGTCATTTAAAAAAAATTCTTCTAAGATCCTATTTTATTGATATTAAAGTAAACAATTCTATTTATCTGCGATGCTGTACTTACTCTTTTAATTCTATTGCTTAATTCTGCTGGTTTCAAAACGTTTATTGCCTGCACGCCCCTTTCTATGATAATGGGTATTGATTTTTGAAACTTTTCATAATCATTTCGTGATAGTATTTCGTTTGACAATGGTGCTGGATACCTAATACTCGAAAAAATCATTAAATTTTGAGTAGTTGTACTAGTAAAACTACTCAAAATTTTTTTGATACATATTTATTTCAATATTTTTAACTAAATTTGGTTTGGTTTGTACAATTATTAACTTCTAATTATTCGTCTATTTTTTACGTTATAAATACAATAAAAGGAACAACTCGGAAATTGTCAATTAATGAAACATACCAGTCGCTGTAATTTCTAGAATGGCTAAGTAACCGCCTAGACGGTGTAATATTTTTTACAAAAAAACAAAACATTTTTATTGGCCTTAGGTTATAGATAGGACCGACGTTTTAAAAGCTATGTAGAATAGCTGCACTGAATAATTTCTATTCATACAATTACTTTATATATAAGTATACATATCCCCTCTATAACTAATATTTTACGTGTCAGTTGTATAAACGTTTATCTCGTTGTATTATAAGATATAATAGCCGTTAATTAATAGATATAATTTGAATAATCAAGCATATTGGCTGTTATTCAAATAACTGTTCATTTAACTTACAAAAGTCACGTTAGTTTTATATAATGACTAGCTGAGCCCTGCGGTTTTGCCAGCTTTAAATTTAAACTTGTTTTAGTACTTAAATGTACCTAAACAATATTTCTCATTTAATCTACCTATACCTGAATCAACATTACTTAACACGTTATCTTTTAAGACTAACACAACCTGAATGCATTACATGCCCTCGTGATTTTACATGGACTAAGTATCAACGGACTATCAGAATGGAGAAGATTTTAAGTGAGACTTGACGATGTCGACTCTAGTTAACTTTTACAGAAAACGAGACATTCCAACTTATTCCTCAGAAATGGGGACGCCTAATTTTAATTGAAGCTTATATGAGGGCACACCTGACAACTCTAGAGAATTTAGAAACTCTACGGGATATGAAGTGCTCTGTTCTGTGTCCATAACTGTGTCAGAAAACTGCATCTCTGACGAATCAATTTAGCTCAGTTTCTTTTCAAAAGTCTGCATCCCTGACGGATAATTATGCTCAGTTTCCTTTAATTAAAAAATATCCCATTTCCATTTGGAATAAACAGGTTATTTTCATGCTTTCCTATACGCTGCGTTTCAAAACATTTAAATAGGCTGACGAATCAATTTTGCTCTGTTTCCTTTTAATGGCTGCATCTCTGACAAATCTATAAAACTCAGTTTTCTTTCAATTCAAAAAGCAATGGATAGTTCATTTCCCAGTGACCATGCGGGCGAAGCCACGGGTAACAGCTAGTCCTCAATAAAAATTAAATTCGCAAAAAAATTGTGGGTCACTCATGTGCAAAAACCACTATCCTATCTCTCAAGTTGGACCAAATTGCACACGGTGTGCAAATTTGACTAAAATCGGTTAATTAGTTTAGGAGTCCATCTCGGACAAACAACGTGACACGTAATTTATATATATTAAGATGGAGCATAGAGCTAAGTCGCAAATGACCTTATTTGGGAGACTAGAAACCAAGAAGTTTGTACGTAAGACGGTTCATAATGACTCTCGAAAAGAGCATGTAGACGGATTTTAGAATAAAAATCATGTACAGTTCTTCATAAGGGCGTTATCTTCTTTGAAAACAAGATATTATATTCCATTTTTGCTTCTGTTCTACGCTTGTGGCGAAATGCCAAGGAGAAAATTAAATAGCTCTTGGAGGACATTAAGCACCGATTCTCCTCCATTCACTTGCCAAAGCTTTGTTGTAATTCTATCCTAGGTACCTTGCCGTTTTTAAGATGCTTGAGGGCCATTCTAACCTTAATCAGATTGACGTCCGGAACTTTATCAGGATAATGTCGAATGGGATTATCACTCAATCTCACGCAAAGTATCTTGTCGCTAGCAATGTTGCTGACGCTGTTAGTTTTCAACTTCAACTTAATAACCACTTCTAATTTATTTATTGATTTTAAGCTTCTAACAACCTACGCTCATCTTAAATAAGCTGAACCGTAAAATACTATTTAATTTTGTCTATCATAACACGTAATTCTGATTCGTAAACTACACAAACATTTTAAATAACTTACATCATACCACCAAAAACAACTTTTACGAATTGCTAATAAAGCAAAACAAAGTGATCACTTCATAGTAACCCGCGACAATCTATTTTTTATATTGTATATATAAGTATGAAACGAGCACACAGTCCACCTGGTAAGTGGATGCTGTGGCCCATAGATATCTACATACAATATATCCCCGATTAAGAATCATAACGCGGATACGTTCCCATTTCTGAGGAATAAGTTGGAATGTCTCGTTTTCTGTAAAAGGTAATTAGGGCAAGTAACTAGAGTCGACATCGTCGAGTCTCACTTAAAATCTTCTCCATTCTGATAGTCCGTTGATCCTTAGTCCATGTAAAATCACGAGGGCATGCAATGTATTCAGGTTGTGTTAGTCTTAAAAGATAACGTGTTAAGTAATATTGGTTCAGGTATAGGTGGATTAAAAGAGAAATATTGTTTAGGTACATTTAAGTACTAAAACAAGTTTAAATTTAAAGCTGGCAAAACCGCAGGGCTCAGCTAGTCATTATATAAAACTAACGTAACTTTTTTAGGTTAAATGAACAGTTATTTGAATAACAGCCAATTTGCTTGATTATTCAAACTATATCTATTAATTAACGGGTATTATATCTTATATTACAATGACATAAACGTGCTAGTTTTTTTTTAAATTCACACCTGACACGTAAAATATTAGTTATAGAGGGGATATGTATACTTATATATAAAGTAATTGTATGAATATAAATTATTCAGTGCAGTTATTCTACTTAGCTTTTAAAACGTCGGTCCTATCTATAACCTAAGGCCAATAAAAATGTTTTGTTTTTTTGTAAAAAATATTACACCGTCTAGGCGGTTACTTAGCCATTCTAGAAATTACAGCGACTGGTATGTTTCATTAATTGACAATTTCCGAGTTGTTCCTTTTATTGTATTTATAACGTAAAAAATAGACGAATAATTAGAAGTTAATAATTGTACAAACCAAACCAAATTTAGTAAAAAAATATTGAAATAAATATGTAGTAAATAAATTTTGAGTAGTTTTACTGGTACAACTACTCAAAATTTAATAATTTTTTCGAAAATTAGGTATCCAGCACCAGTGTCAAACGAAATACTATCACGAAATGGTTATGAAAAGTTTCAAAACTCAATACCCATTTAGTATAGTTTCTTAAGACCCCGTATAGATGTAAAGTGAACGTTATACATCTTTATCTGACGATTTAAACGTTGGAAACCTGACCGTTGGCAGACATTTTATAGTTAAACTAGCTTACCAGACAGACGTTGTTCTGCCCTTTTTGACGACCCTTTGTCATGTCCTATTAAAAATCCATAATAATATTATAAATGTGAAAGTGTGTTTGTTTGTTTGTTTGTCCTTCTTTCAGATGAGATGTTTTTCCGCGGAAAAACATCTCATTCCCGTGGGAAAATCGAATATTTTGCAAAATTAAATTCAGCTAGGTGGCTCACCGTGATTCTACAAGACAAACGACTGGACGAACACAGAAGGTCAGAATATCTGGATTATTATGTCTTTTTACCAAAATTAAGATAAAAAATGTATAGATCTGTATTTTTCCACGCAGGACCGGGAAGAGAGCGATAAAAAACATAAAATTCACCAGCTGATTTTCTTCAAACATTTTGGTGCATTGTAATTCACAGAATAGACGATAACCTCGCAGAAGATATTATAGTAATCCGTTGATGCTCTGCCTACCCCGCAAGGGTTACAGGCGTGATTATAAGTATGGATCAGAAATAATATCACCACCTGTCACGCTTTCACCCTTAACTATTACTTAACTGTGGTAGAAACAGTTCTTAGTAAGCCTTATTAATAAGCCTTAGTAATATTTATTGAACGGAAATGAATACAGTTCTTATATGTGGTTATGAATGAATCGGTATTACAATAAGAAAAATTGTGCAAAATTATAAGAAAAATATTTTTGAGAGTTCTTATTAACGTATACGTTAGTATACATAGTTTAAATTGATTCCGCTAGATGTCGTCACTAGGTTTTTAAAACGCGGTAACGAAATGTTTCCTGACATGTACTTAACTCCCGCCGTTGAGCCGCGCGTCAACTTATAGTGCGTACGGTACCTATACGCTTAAATTGTTTCTATTTCGTAGCTTATTCGACTACCTGCTTTCGATTTCGGTTGTTTGTTATTTGCTTTGTTTTGGTTAAGGTTGAATGGATTTATATTGGCTTTCATTTTCGGATTTGTGTATTTTCTTGGATCGATCGAGATAAAATCACAGGTTAGTTGTTATCGCACTGATGGACAAGGCGTGTCGATTTTGCGGCGCTTTAAAATGGAAAGATAAGACCGCAGGCATTTGTGCTGTTCCAATGGCAAAGTGTCTCTTCCGTTACTTGGGGAACCAGAAGAACCTTTGAAAACTTTCTTTTTATATGATGCTAATGAGTCACGGCGCTTTTTAAACAGGATCCGGAAATATAACTCATGATTTCAAATGACGTCCTCCGGAGTTGACCGGGAAATAACAATGCCGGGATTTTCGCCTACATTTACGGTGCAAGGGCAAATTTATCGTAGAATAGGTTCACTTTTTCCAGCTGAAAACGAACAGCATAAATTTTTACAAGTATATTTTATGGGTGACGAAGAAATTGAGGTAGACAGTCGCTGCCAATTTATCGAAGGAGTTACGAGAGAGACACAGTGTTCAAAATTCAAAGATTCTTGCAAGAACGTAACACTTTAGTCAAAAAATTTAAAACTGCTTTAGAAAACCTACCTGAAGAGGATTATAAAGTCGTCATTCACGCAGATCGGACCCCTCGAAGAGCGCATGAAAGGCGCTACAATGCACCTTTGATAAACGAAATAGCAGCCGTAATTAGTGGTGATCAATTTGATACGTTGCAACGGGTAGCCAATACACACAAGTTTTATGACGCTCTGATTGCTCATTGATTTATTGCAAAGGACAAGAGGGTTATTATTTTCAAATTCCACTCATTACCCCGGTCACAAAGGAGCCTACTCCGAACAAAAAAGTATCATGTATGGATTTTTATGCGTATCATATGATGTTGCGAGAAAATGATTTTAACCTCTTAGGCAATTATTTCATCAATTTTTGGTAGACATGTATGTGAAAGTAGAAAGTGAACGTCTCCGTTATATATCT